GATCTGTAAAGTTGCAAAGACTAAAGTCTCAAATCCAAAGAGATATTCTTTATAAAAGTTAAGAGTCAGTCACGCCTACCTAAAACGCCTCGTTCATATCTACATCACTGTGTGGGAAGATTTCCATAACGCCACCCAAATGTTCACGCAAAGAGAGAAGGCGTAACTTTTATTCTCGCTGTAGTATTGTTGTTGCCACCGCCGCTATGTCGTGAAGACGCTGTGTTTCGTTGTGAAAGTGAAGCTACTTTGTTTGGCTTTGCAAAAATGGACACAACTAGAAATCAGTGGTTAAGTTGTATTTACAACACTGTTCCAGAACAGTTCAACCCAAATATTCAGATGTGTGCAGCACATTTTATGGAGGACTGTTTCCTGATCCTGGTAGAGTAGACTACAATGCCGACTGTTTTTATATTTAAAGAGTTTTTATATCTTATATTTTTTATATTTTATATTTTTTATATTTAAAGCGAGATTTTTTGGGCAGTGTAGAGTAGGGCTTGTTGTTTGTCATTTCTCTGATCACAAATGCAGACATGGTTTTATGTTTATGCGGCGCAACGCAATGCATAAAAAGACAGTATAAATCATTATAATCTGTAATTATGTCCCCACTGGACGCAACAAATGCCTCGTTTATAATGGGTTTTAATGTTTTTGTCTCATCGCTCCGGCCGGACAGGGCATCATCATAATATGGTGAGGGGCGTAACATTTACGTCACACGCTTGAGGTATTCGGCCAATCACAACGCACTGGATAGCTGGCCAATCAGAGCACACCTCGCTTTTCAGACCGATGAGCTTTGTAAAAATCGACGCATTTCAGAAAGGCGGGGCATAGAGGAGAAACAATAATGTACAGTATGTGGAAAATAATGTGTTTTTTAACCTTAAACCGCATTAACACATTTCATTACACCAAATACACAAAATAATGTTCTTTTTAGCAGCATCATATGCTTTCAGCTAATGCATTAGCGTAATGGCTTGCCCTGGCACTTTGGCAGATGATGCGTGTGCGTCCTCAGTGCAAAAACTTTCAGTTTACGGTCATATCCTTATGTATAAATGTCACAAATTCACGCGAACATTTCCATTTTTGCATAAAGGTCCACCCTGACAGTCTGTATTAAGTTTTAATCTTTACTGAAAGAGCGGCAGGCACGTGCACGTGCGTCAGACAGACGGAAAAGAGACTTAATTAATAATCAGTGCAAAAACATTTATTGTGCTGAAATATCTATTGTTGAAAGTTAAATTGAGGTTTAAAGGCCAACATGCATTGTGAGTATTTTATGAGAGTAGGAACTGTAAGGGGATGACAGCGTGTAATTGTCTGAATATAAATATCAGACGCTTCATAACTACCTTTAACAGGATAAAGAAATGACAGGAAGACGTGACTGTGGTCAAAGTGAACGTGTGTTCCTGCAGAACATTACTCTTACCTATTGGTTACAACGGAGTTTGTGATTTTATTTGTCTTTATCATCATTTTAATTTTTAATGCAGAGATTTAAACTATATACATATATAACTATATACATATATAACTATATACAATGCTTAAATTTATTAAAACAAAATGTATGTAAGGTTTTTAACAAATTATGGTTTGTGCCACTGCTGCTCTAAACTAACAGTACTGGTCATTTTTTAGCTTTCTGTATTGGTTAGTCCTCCAATATGTGTAAGCTCTTTAGTAACAGGCTAATGCTATAATATAATTATTGCTGTTATCTATGAAAGAAAGGCAGAGAACTTTATAGTGTTTTTTTTTCAGATACCCAATTAGTCAAAAAGTACATAAACAATGCCAGCAAGAATGCAAGTTGTTATGAAGGGCATAGGGGGCCTTTTTTATGTGAATAAACACTATTTAGTTGTTTAAGTTTATTTGCCCAATAAAAGACAATACATTTTTTTGATTTAAACAATTTTTTGACAGATTCCTAAAATGTGTTTTCTCTTTATTATGGCAGGTGGTCTAATAAATTGTTAAGCACTGTATGTTTTCATAGCATTCAGTTGGCATGTTTGTTTGAATGACATTGGGCAGAATGTGAAATAGTGTTTTTTGTCAATAAAAAAATAAAAGAAAATAGTTTTTATTTTAAAATCCGATTAATCGAAAAAATAATCGACCAACTAATCGATTATCAAAATAATCATTAGTTGCAGCCCTACTTATGGGTTTGAAACGACATAAGGGTTAGTAAATAATGACGGAATTTTCCTTTGTGGTGGAACTGTCTCTTTAAGAATTTAGGAACACAGATGTAAAAACAAAGCCATGCATTGGCAGTGCCATCTTTATCTATCTCTTAGCTGATGCTGCGATCCACACGTACCCCACTCCTGCATGCAACTCGGGTATTCGCATCAGATAGCAGCATGAGGGCAGTTCTCCACTGAAAGCATCACGACGTTATCTCCAGCTGATCTGAACATACTTCACACCATCAGCTCCCCACACACTCACAGACAAGATTATGTATCATAAGTCTGTTATCTGTTCCTAATCTGGTTGTACACACAAGCATCCATAATTTCCATATTCAAAGTGTGACACAGCAAATCGAAAAACACAGTCAAACAGGAAAATAAGAGACCTTTCACTCTCGATTTCCCTTTTCTTTTGTAGTCTCTCTCATGTAATTCTCTTATTTAGTCATTTAATTTTGATATATGCGGTTCTATGTGAATATGTTTTAAAATGTAATTTAATCCTGTGATGCAAAGCTGATTTCTCAGCAGGCATTACTCCAGTCTTCAGTGTCACATGAACCTTTAGATATCTTTCTAATATGCTGATTTGGTGGTACTTATGAATGGTAATGTGTATATATGTATACAAAATAGAAAATAAATTTTATGCATAAAAATAAACATATCAAATAAGAAAATATTGATCTTTGTAGCTTAAGAACAAACTGAAGCATCAGGTGACAGGTATTTCACAAAGACTTGAAGAATTTCTCTCGTTTCTAAATAAAATGCTGCATAAGACAGTTATCTGTCACCAGAGCACCACCCACACAACATCCCTCACGCAGATCTCAGCGATTCCCCACCGCAGTCTAATTCCCTCCACATCTGCAGGAGCTTTGAGCAGATATATGACTGCCATGAGAGGAAAGAACACCAAATCCAGCTCTTTCCTTACAGAGCACATCTTCATCCCAGCACTTTACAGTTATGTCCGTCTCACACACACACATGCTAGCAAACTATTCCAGTTTCATGTCCAGAAACCTGCTTCAGTGTCAAAATTACAACATCTCTCTGTCGCTATCTACATTTATCTAAGCCTCTAGGTTTTATACTGATGCTTGTTGAGCACTTGAATTTCCCTTTGGAGTACAATTATGTGTGCGTGTCACATTCCTTAATTTAGTTCCATCTGCTTGTCCCAATCATTTGCTTAGTGTACCTGTGATACATAATCATACCCTGCATGTTTCTGACTAAACACATCAACACTTCTAATTTTTTTCAAACAGGAATGATTCTTCAGGTATCAGCTTCTTTCAGAGAATAGCACAATATAATAACACATTTAAAGGCTTCTCCAAATACGTTACACTGTTGTACACACCTTATATGTCATGTAACACGTTAAGTTAATGGATGGCTGTAGAGAGCATGTGACTAGGGGGGATTCACACACCTGAAGCAGTGTGCCATGGATGTGGTTTTGTTGGAGTCCTGGTCCAGATTCTTGAGGCAGCTCCTCCAGGAGAGTCTGGATGGTGGATGGAACTTGGGTCACCAGGACAAAAGGAACCAGGGCTCTCGCGGCCATTTCACGCGTGCGGTACACTGCAGAGCGACCACACCTACAAGACAACCGGTTCACAATTATATTTCAGCCACTTCATGATCTCTTCAACTCAGAGTAACTACATGGTTCTGAGGGGGTTCTGGTGAAGGACTGAGAAGTATTTCTGGAATTAAACACTCTTCTTGAGATTATAACTGTGCACATTGAACCAACTTCATGAGGTGCATCCTGGAATACTTTTAAAAGGTTAGTTCACCCAAAAATGAAAATTCTGTCATTAACTACTCACCCTCATGTTGTTCCAAACCCGTAAGATCTCTGTTCATCTTCGGAACACAAATTAAGATATTTTTGATGAAATCCGAGAGCTTTCTGACACTGCATAGACAGCAATGCAACTGAAATGTTCACAGGCCCAGAAACGTAGTAAGGACATCGTTAAAATAGTCCATGTGACATCAGTGGTTCAACTGTAATTTTGCAAAGCAGCAAGAATACTTTGTGTGCAAAAAAACCAACAAATAAAAATAAATAATTCTTCTCATTCACGTCACCCTAGCCATTTTTGAGAGCATCACAACGCATGTGGGTACATTCCTTTGCACGTAAACAAGGCTTAGCACATGCATGTTCTACATAAGCAGCATCACACGCATGTGTTTTAACGGGCACAGGTACTCTTGATAATGGCAGAAGACGTGATTTAGAGGAGAAGAATTGTGGAATTAAGTTGTTATTTTTGTTTTCTTTGCACAAAAAGTTATCTCGCTGCTTTGTAAAATTACGGTTTTCTGACACTGCATAGACAGCAATGCAACTGAAATGTTCACAGGCCCAGAAACGTAGTAAGGACATCGTTAAAATAGTCCATGTGACATCAGTGGTTGTAACTGTAATTTTGCAAAGCAGCAATAATACTTTGTGTGCAAAAAAAACAACAAATAAAAATAAATAATTCTTCTCATTCACGTCACCCTAGCCATTTTAGAGAGCATCACGACGCATGTGCGTACATTCCTTTGCACGTAAACAAGGCTTAGCACATGCATGTTCTACATAAGCAGCATCACACGCATGTGTTTTAACGGGCACAGGTACTCTTGATAATGGCAGAAGACGTGATTTAGAGGAGAAGAATTGTGGAATTAAGTTGTTATTTTTGTTTTCTTTGCACAAAAAGTTATCTCGCTGCTTTGTAAAATTACGGTTGAACCACTGATGTCACATGGACTGTTTTACCGATGTCCTTACTACGTTTCATTTCAGTTGCATTGACATCTATGCAGGGTCAGAGAGCTCTCAGATTTCATTAAACATATCTTAATTTGTGTTTCAAAGATAAACAAAGGTCTTACGGGTTTGGAACGACATGAGGGTGAGTAATTAATGACAGAATTTTTAATTTTTGGGTGAACATTCCCTTTAAAAAAACACGAGTTCACGTACTGTAAACAGTAAAAACTTTATACAGTAAAAACAGAAATACTGTGAAAGAGGGCTGTGCAAAAAAATCTAATGTGATCTCGTCAGTAAAGCTGCTTCTGTGATTAGTAGTAAATCTCCAGCACGTGCTTTCAGATGAAGCGGCATTTACTACACAGGGCTGTAGTTCACTGACAAGCTACGCAAAATCGCGTTCATAATCGGCAATGAATCGCCTGCGACTTTGAACGCGATTTTGTGTAGCTTGTATTTTGTTTTGGAAAGAAATTGATACACAGGCAAATTTATAGCTGCCTACAAAATTAATATCAAACATTGCAACAGAAGCCTTTAGATAATGCCTTATATAATGAGAAACACAAATTCATTTAAGTGCCTTCAAACTTTTCCCGGTACTATATTTTATGTACATATATTTATATTTTATGTAAAACATTATTTTATAGATTCCTGGAAGGTTCACTGAACTCTTTTGGACTGGTAGTAGGTTCAGGGACGGGGTCTTGGTGATTTCATTTTCAGAGCAGCCCCCTGATGACTTAGACGACTGCTTTACAAGCACTAAATTAAAGAAGCCTCTCCAAAGTTCTGGAAACTCCCCCAAGAAGCTCCAGAGACATGAAATAGGGAATATCCATCCATCAAAAAGAAGGGAATTGGAAAAAAGAAAAAGAAAAACGATGTAGCCATCATGTTTGTAGATAAATGAATGGAAGTTTGACAGATGAACAGATAGAAACAAAAAATAAACCATAGCTAGACTTGCAAAGCTGTGATTGGGATCTGCTGACAGCAGATGGAAGCGAGCATGGAGGTATGAGTTTGTGTTAACATTCACATTCTTTACCAGACCTAACCGCAGTTAGAGATCAGAGATCTGCTGACCTCAAACTATGAATATCATATGGATTCTAAAGGGGGCATGTTAATCTGTACAATAACAACTCCAGAGACATGAAATAGGGAATATCCATCCATCAAAAAGAAGGGGATTGGAAAAAAGAAAAAGAAAAACGATGTAGCCATCATGTTTGTAGATAAATGAATGGAAGTTTGACAGATGAACAGATAGAAACAAAAAATAAACCATAGCTAGACTTGCAAAGCTGTGATTGGGATCTGCTGACAGCAGATGGAAGCGAGCATGGAGGTATGAGTTCGTGTTAACATTCACATTCTTTACCAGACCTAACCGCAGTTAGAGATCAGAGATCTGCTGACCTCAAACTATGAATATCATATGGATTCTAAAGGGGGCATGTTAATCTGTACAATAACAACTTCTGCGGAGGCGAATTAAGCCCATGTCATAAATTAAACATTAAGTTACATGAAACTACTGTTTCTGGGAAAGAAACAATGTACAACATTGACTATGGGATATCATGCACTTCTATTGACAACATTCACATAGTCAGTGTTTAGGACTGGAGCTTGAATAGTCAAGCACCTCTTTCTACACCAACACTTTGTGTTTTACTATCAAATTATATATAATAGCTTAACTTACACCTGAATGTTGTCCTCGAATTCCCACAATTTTTGGGAATGTGAGTTCCTTAACGTGATGAATGATGGGATACGTTTAGTCTCAATACTGCTTCGAAAACGGTATTAGAGATCGTCAATTGATTACAGGTAATAATATTTTAAATAAATGTTCAGTTTCTTGCACAGACAGATCATTTCGCTTCATAAGACCTCAATACATCATCAGGAGCCACGGGTATTAGTTTTGTGTTGCCTGTATATGCTTTTCAGACTCTCAAGTGCTGGTAGCCGCTGAATTTTTATGAATCACCAAGGACCACGGTTTCAGCAAAAAAGCTGCTTTACTGTCCTGAAGTAAAAACTCACCTAGGGTGGGTAAATTAACAACAAATTTTCATTTTTGGGTGAACTATCCCTTTAAGGACTTGGTGCTTTTTGGTCCTGGGAATGCCGTGCAAGACAGCGTGCAAGCTTCCTGTTGCGACCAAGTGCTCTCAAGCAGCCAAGACTGCAGGAGTGGGTATTAGGACAGGCTCAATGTTTAAATTAAGATAAAGATACTTACATAATGTCTGTTTTGTAATGACATCTACATAACACCTGACAGACTTTTCTTTTTTTTTTTTAAAGGTGCCATAGAATGCATTGATACAACATTTTAAATTGTTCTCTGATATCTACATAGACGGTATGTGGCTTAGGTAAGGGCAAAAAAATCTCCAGAAATGGTTTTACATGTCCATTTACAACCCTAGGATTTGTCCCTAGAATGAAATGGTCTGTTTTTACCTTATTTGGAAGGGTCATGAATAATAATGTTGAGCTCTGCTCAGATTGGCTGTTTCACAGTGCGGCTCATTTCAGTAGCTCACACAGCAGGAAGGAAACACAGGGAAAATATATATTTCAATACTTTCTCTCGCGGTTATATCGTTGGGTAATTATACTGTATATAAAATGCGGGCATCAGGGAGCCACTATTAATATGCGGGCATTGAAACTGCTTTCGAATGCACAATGCTTTTTACTTTCACTTTCGAGATTTGCGATCGCACGTGCTGTGTAAACTACAGCGGCAGTACTTCCCACACTTTTTACAAGATCAGATGCTTGTCAGTGGTGCTCAGGATCTGTAAATCATTCGCCATCATCCTCAGTCATCTCTCCTTACTCGGTGTATGTGGTAAGTGAAATCTTATGTACTGTAATGTAACAGGCTACCGCTAGCAAGCAGCTAACCATGTCCCTTTAGTAGCTCGCGCTATTTTATTAGAATGCACGTTATTTGTTTTCCGTGCCTTTCTGAATACAGATACCAACCCATCCCTGCACATCACATCCCCTGCACAGCCTGGAACATAACATTTATTTCCATGAACTGCCATTTTCGCTATTATCCTCGCTTGTTTCTTCACAATACATGCCGAACTTCTGATGATTCGGCTGTGCAGGTTCGGCTGGCATAGAACATGGGCGGGTATATGCAAATGTTGGGGGCGTAACTATTAGTGATCCCGACTGTAACGTCACAGTCGGTGTTATGTTCTGATTCGCCTATTTTTCAGTGGTCTTTTGCATGCACGAGATTTACATAAGGAGGAGGAAACAACGGTGTTTGAGGCTCACGGTATGTCATTTCCATGTACAGAACTGTTATTATTCAACTATGCAAAGGTAAATACAATTTTCCATTCTATTGCACCTTTAATAACCAAGCACAGAATTTGGGTTGTGGCCAGACCTCAAAATGCCAAAGTGTGCATCTAACAACACTGTCCCGCCAAAGGGCCAGTGATAGGTCATGGTAGGCAGGGTTAATATTAAGGGTTACGGTAAATACAATTTTCCATTCTATTGCACCTTTAATAACCAAGCACAGAATTTGGGTTGTGGCCAGACCTCAAAATGCCAAAGTGTGCATCTAACAACAAATTCCGACAACTGGAGATTCATAATTAATATATATTTTAGAAAGTGATGGTGACCAAATTAAGTCATGTGGGAGGGGGGGGGAATGATGTGTCCCACTGTCCCGCCAAAGGGCCAGTGATAGGTCATGGTAGGCAGGGTTAATATTAAGGGTTATTAAAATTACATAGTACAAACACCTGTGCCATTTCA